AACACTTTTGCCTCTAGAATTTGATGTGTTGAATTTCAACCGGTGCTGCTTACTTGTTATGCAATGCTCACACAAAGGAAGTGATACCTTTGTTAAGCCTGGAAGTAGCTTTTGCTCCACAAGGACTTTCATTCCTTGTTCTGACATGTGTCCAAGTTTCTTATGCCATAGCATTACAGAATCTGAACTACATGAGAAAACAGAGGCTTCTGCTTCTAGCAATGTCTCTCCCTTCAGCATGTACAAGTTTACAGCTATCTTTTCACCTTTCAGCACCACAAGCGCTCCACGGAACACCTTCATGATTCCTTTCCGTGTTTCAATCTTGCTTGCATTATTATCCAACAATCCGTAGGATAATAAATTTTTCTTCAGACCTTTCACGTGCCGCATATCTCGAACAACTTTAATTGTTCCGTCATACATCTTCAATTTGATGGTTCCCACGCCAACGATCTCTAAGGCATGATCATTGCAACTATAAACAGATCCTCCTGAGACAGGTTCATAATGATGAAACCATTCTCTTCTTGAGGTCATGTGATATATTGCTCCCGAATCAATGCCATATCTGCAAATCGTTTTCTTCCTTCCACGGTGGTTGACGCTTCACAGCTAGAGCATCTCATCATCTGAAGTGTTTGCAGTATTGCCTTGTGGATTGGAGTTTTTATTTAGACTCCAACAATCCTTCTTCAAGTGACCCTTCTTTCCACAGTTGTAACACTTTAAATTCTTCTTACTTCTCGACTTCGATCTACCATATTTGTGACTGCTGCTTTGGCCACGTTCTGTTGATCTCCCTCTCATCGTTGTCATCATTGTCAATGCTTCTGCTTGTTGCAGATTTACTTGTCTGTCTTCCTTGTTCTTGCACCGATTTTCTTCTTGTAGAACAGCAGCTGCAACGTCATCGAAGACTAGACTGGTGACATTATTGTTTGTCAAGTTGATGATGAGTTGATCATATGAATCCGGTAGACTTTGAAGTAGAATTTCAGCACGTTCTTGTTCTCCTATTTTACAGCTTAAGGATGTAAGCTGAGAAAATAAAGTGTTTAGTGTATTTAAGTACTCCGTCACTAAAGTAGATTCTGGCATACGGAGAGTGTACAATTTTCTCTTAAGGAAAATTTTATTGTGCAACGATGTGGCCTCGTACAGTTTGGTGAGATGATCTCATATCTCCTTAGCTGTCTTCTTTTCCTCGATACTTGACAATACTTCATCTGCTAATGCTAGATGAAAGTTTACCATAGCATTCCCGTCCATCTCGTTCCATTTGATGTCATCTGCGAAATCCACCGGCCTTTCATTGATAGCCGCTAGACACCCGTTTTTCCTTAAGATGGCCTTCATCTTCAATTTCCACAATGAGAAATTTCTCCCATTGAACTTTTCAATATCAAATTTCGTTGCCATTGCTTTGTTTACGGATAGCTCCCACTATTTCACTATCGTGAATAGTTCTCTGGAACCTTCAAAGAATGGGTAATAACTTCTTACTTTCTTATGTTGGAGGATCCACCTTTTGGTGGCAACCACAAAGACAATAAGAAGATATTACACACTCTAATCTAGCTCTGATACCAATTGTTACGGAAGACGGCTATCGGATAGAGCAAAATCGCAACTAATAATTTGAGAAAATAAAAATGAAGATAAAAGAGACACAAAATTTACGTGGAAAACCCCTAAAAATTTAGGGTAAAAACCACGGGCAACGGTAGAAGAATTTCACTATGAGAAAATAGGAATTACAACCTCTCTCGATCTACCAAGAAGAAAACAATGATAATTCTCTCTCGATAAAAGGAGAAAATAACTCTTAAGAAACTCTCTAAATTCTCTCTAGTATTAGAAGAAAGCTAGAATGCTTTGGGATGGTTTTGAAGCTAAATGAGCTAGGGTATTTATAGTTAAAGCTTAAGGATTAATCTTGTAAATACCTTAAAGTCTAATGACTAAAATTAATTTTTCCATTCTATTTTTTTTCAACATTTTAGGTGAATTATTATTTCTAATTTTCAAATCACCTTTCGGTGGAAAATTAGGCCACCAATTTTGGCCACTTGTCTTGACTTTTCAACATGAGCTTGTTTTGAACCATTCGAATGAGGTAGTTGTATGTCTTTGTTATGACTCGGTTGTGTAGGATTGGAACCCCCTGGTATTTTCGTAGTTCCTCCACTTCTGTGTAGTCGAACGAAAGCCCTGTTAAGTTTTGTACGTGTATTAAGCTTCACATTCTTAGAGTAGAAGATTGTCATCTTGGCTTGGTTGACCTTGTGTCCAGAGACCTCGCAAAATTGGCTTAGGATTTCCCAGATCACCACTTGTTGTTCCATTGTAGCTTCTGCAAAAAGAAACATATCGTCAGCAAAAATAAATGCGAAATGGTCGGGCTATGATTAGCAGTTTGGAAAGGTTTCCAACGTGCCTGATTAATTTTGGCCTGGGCCAATCTCTCCATGCACAGCACAAATATGTAAGGTGAGAGGAGATCTCCTTGTCTGATGCCTCTGGTAGGCTTGAAGGGTTCTGTCTTTGAACCATTTGAGTTGAAACCGAAGTAACACATTGCATTATAAGTGGATGTAGGTGATTTGGGATACCAATATTCGTGAGGGTGTAATTAATGAAACTCCATTCAAGCCTGTCACAAGCTTTTTCCAAATCGATTTTAATGGCCATCCACCCTTTCTTGCCTGTTTTGCAACGCAGAGTGTCACTTCCTGGGTGATCACTATGTTTTCAGTAATGGCCCTTCTCGGGACAAAGCTAGTTTGGTTCTCTGAGATCCAACTAAGAAGAAAAGGTTTTAGCCGCTTGACTATGATTTTTGTGATTTCTTTATACATTACATTGCACAAACTGATAAGGCGGAATGGATTGATGGTTTTAGGAGTTGTTACTTTGGGGATCAAGACTAGAAGGGTTTTGTTGAACTTAGAGGGTATAGTTCCTTCATCAAACACCTTTCGGATGCTCTGGCAAATAGAATCCCCAACTATCTCCCAATTGCGTTGGAAGAAGATAGCTTGAAGACCGTTGGGTCCCGGAGCCTTAAGAGCGCCCATATATATATATAAAAAAAAGCCTCCTTTATTTCCTCGTTGGTTACATTTGTATTTAAGGAGTCAAAATCCTTTGTCCAATTTTTGGAATTTACCTCCGCTGCTAAAACAATAATCATTGCTACCAGAGGAGGTAAACAGATTGCTGAAGAAATTTCTGGCTAAGGCTGAAATGTCATCTTGGTTAGTGCACCACACTCCATCTTGATCTTTCAAGGCTGAAATTCTGTTAGCCCGTCTTCTGGTAATCGTTGACACATGATAGTATCCTGTATTTTCATCACCGTGCAGGGTCTACTGGATGAAGGCTTTTTGCCTCCACAACTTTTCCTCTTGTTCCAGCACTTCCATGAGTTCGTTATGGAGATGTTCTTCCAAATTTACCAGAAAATCAAAATGATTCCTTTGTAATGCTTTACTGATGCCTCTTGATCTAGCAAGAATATTTTTTTCTTCTTGCCAATGTGACCAAATGAATCCAAGTTCCACTTGATAATCTTAGTCTTGAAGTTCTGGTTGTTAGATTCAATGGAATGGTTACTATTCTAGGCATTGCTAAGCACTTCTTTGAACTGGGGTGGTCTTGCCAAGCTTCAATGAAGCGAAAAGGCCTATTGTGATTCTTCTTATGGCGCTCAGTTGTTTGAAGAAGAATTGGTCTATGATCAGAGCCAATCCACTCAAGATGGGTAACATAGGCGTTTGGGTAATCATCAATCCATTTGGCGTTCACAAGGCATCTATCAAGTCTCTGTGTAAGGTTTCCACGCGACCAAGTGAAAGGTGGTCCTTGAAAACCCATATCACTCAGACCCGTGTTATGGATGAAGTCTCGAATTTTTTTATTGTCTCTTTGGTTCTGGCATGAGCCCACCATTCTTTCATCTGGACTTGATATGGCATTAAAATCACCTCCTAGCACCTAAGGAGTATCATTTCCTGGATCGAGGCTTCTCAGCTGCTCCCAAAGGTGATTCCTTATCGATTGGTGTGGGCTGGCATAGACTGCAGTGAAGTTAACTTACCTGTTTGAATCCTTCTTCCATTTTCCATTTTCCATTTATAAACTGGTTTGACACCTGGAGTATAGACATGTCTACTAAATCTCTCCAAAGGATCCAAATTCTCCCTTTAAATCCATGAGCTTCGATTCTGAAAGAATGGTTAGAGCTAAGTTTAAAAATGACTTGGTTCGCTCTATTCCCGCAGACCCTAGTTTCGAATAAGGCCACCACATCCGATCTATGTTTGTTGACAACTGAACGAAAGATTCTCCTAAAAGCTGGGCTTGCCGCATCCTGGCAGTTCCAAAAGATGATCGACATAAATAAGAGAAAACCAAGGTAAATTACTGCTCGGTATCCTGTCCAGTGTTCTCCTGGACGTCGGTGTCAAAATATATTTTCCTTGTTGATGGCTTCTTCATCTTCCTCGGATGAGAGTTCAATCTTCAACGTTGGGATCTTGTGAGCTATCTGGGGGTTTCCCTTTCATTTTCCACTTTCCAAGATGGTTATCAATACTGTCTGTCCAATCTACAGGTACTGACCGAAGGTTCGTTTGATTTTCACTGCTCTTTTTTAATTTTAGTCCCTTTTTGTTTACTTCCCACGAGTTTTTACTAGTCGACCCACGGTTCATTTGATATTTGTTTGACTTTCCTTTGTTTGCTTCAAATCCTTGTTCAGTGATGTACTAGGCTGATTAACCAGTTATCGTGGGGATAACCTCCATCTCGTCTTGTTTCTCCACTGCTGAAGTGGGCTTCTTGGACTTTTTTCCTAGGTTTGACGCTAAGTAGGCTGCATTTTTGGATACTGCATTTTTCCATATCGTGGGGATATCCTTGGTTCCTATATTTAATTTGACAGCTTTTTCCATCGGGTTTTCCTTCTTTTGAGTCTCGTTCAAATTCTCACCCATTTACCATGTTTTTTCAGTTTGCTCGTCTCGTAGAATTTCGAATCTAGAACCTTTGGTCTGATCATCAGTGTTTCCTCCCGAGTTGGATGCGGGATTTTTGGTGTTTGCCTTGCGTCGTCTGCTTGGAACTACCATCCAAGGACCAAACCGATCCTGAGTGACATCATTTTGTGGTGGTGGCTTATTTCGGGTCTCTTGAATTATTTTTATCCTCCGTCTCCATGTTTGAGGTAACACAATTTCTTTGGAGTGCCCATAGATACCACATGAAAAACAAATCTGATATAGTCCTTCATATTCAATTTTTTGGACGAAATTGTCTATGCCAATACACGGTTTCTGGGGTTTGTTGAGGTCCACCATCACCGGAATCCGAGCGAATCTGCCTCTCTCGCCTGCTAAAGTGTTATAGTCGACTTTAATTACCTTGCCCACAATCATGGCTGTACGTCTGAATAGGGCTTTGCAGTAGTATCTATAGGGTAGTCCAGGCAGTCTAATCCATACAATTACATGTGATGGATGTTTTTCTGTGGTGGAGAATGATCTGCTCCACGGTTGAATCATTAGATAGTTTCCAGATATCGTCCATGAGCCATCAGTTAGGACATCGGCATAGTCTCTTTCATCTTCGAACTTTACCAAATAGTAGTTGTTTTCTAAGTCCACTAATTGAAGTTGCCCCGGGGTTTCCATAGATTGTGGATTCTGTCCAACAGCGCTTTGTATCCGATTGTTCGACCAAGAAGCCTAACAATGACAGATTTTCATGCTTCTATCTATTTGTTCGTGAACCCTTTCGGAGAATTTGATAACTGTCACTGTTCCAGTGTCATCAATGAAACAGTCCTCATCCAAGACAACTTCGATCATATCCAAACAGTCCCCAGAGATTTAAGCGGTGTTTGTTTTTGCAGAGGTATAAGGTCTGCGGACTACATCTGCAGACATCTGTAACAGAAGAAGTGGACCAAAAGTCTGCAGTCTGCAAAAAGAAGACTGTTTTTTTAACGTCTGCAAACTGATAAAATAAACTGAAATATAAATAAATTGGTTTTTTAAACTATACTCAAATAACCATTTTTGCTATTAATTTTTTAAAAATTATAAAATGTCATTAAATTTAATGAATTATTACAAAATAGTCACTATACTGTTGTAATAAATTATAAAAGTTCGATAATATAATAATTATTTTATAGTATTTAGATACATTTATTAATAATTTTATAATCTGATTCTTATCATTTAATTCTGGTAAAGTACGAAAATCCCTTTATACAAAATAAATAAATAAAAAACAAATAATATATTTTTTTCTAAATAGAAAAATACTAATTGATGTATATTATATGGAGTATGTATTAAATAATATTTATTTAATATATTTTTTCAAATAAAGTATATTAAATATCATTGAGTTATATATAAATGATCATTTTCGTCAATAAAGTTTAAAAAATTATAAAATACTTATTAAATTTATTAAAAGATTATAAAATTATTAATAAATTTATCTAAATACTATAAAATAATTATTATATTATCGAACTTTTATAATTTATTACAACATTATAATGATTATTTTGTGATAATTCATTAAATTTAATGACATTTTATAATTTTTAAAAAATTAATAGCAAAAATGGTTTTTTGAAGAGTTTTGAAGAGTTTTGAAGATATAAGTCTATGTCTACGTCAAGAAGAGGACGGGCAGACGTTAGAAGACCTTCTGTCTTCTAAAAAATAAACGATCTGCGAAACCCAATGTTTATGCGTGGTTTACGCAGACATAAGAGCTTTGAAGACCTTAAACAGTGAAAACAAACACAACCTTAAATTCTTTCCGTTTGTACATTTTTGGCCCCCATTGCTGCGTAGGATTCTTTCTAGGCACCATTAGGATTAATCATGCCTTCGGTATTGTTTTGCTGTTCCATTTCTTTTCCATCATCAGCTTCCATATCAACGAAATCAGTTTGCATAGATGTTTCCAAAGTTGCGTCTTTTTTAACTTTCTTTGCAGCCTGTTGATCTTCCGATGAGATTGGGGAGCCTTGTCTCTCCAATACTGGTGGTGTTCCTATGTTGATAATTTCATCCTGTGGTAGAGTTATCCAGGATATCCCTGGTGTTTCATTCTTCTTTCGATTTCTCTCCAAGATCACCGTCTTCCATTATCTTTTAGACTAGTTTTTTTAGGGTTAGGGTCAAAATGACCCAAAATAAAAAAAAAAACATGAAGAAAGAGGCTTGTGGTTGCCTTGTATCTCATAGAAAAAAATATTTAATCTTTGGAGGCATCTTATTTTCAAGATTTATTATTTGGTTAAATAATTAAAAATATTTTTACTATCTTATTTTGTGCGAATCCAAATCTCTATATTTATTTTGAAAACATAATATATTTCTACTTAATAAAAAAATATCTTATATTTTGTATGACAGTAGTTAGTTATCACCCTATTTTGTATAGTTTGAATACTTAAGGTTAATTTTAAGTGTCTAAATAATTTTTTGTTAAGATATGTTCCTAAAGTTTCCGTAATTACACTTTTAAGTGTTTGCTGTTAAATTCGATCGGTAAACGACACGTGTCAGATTTATAAAAATTTAAATATTTTATTTTATTTTTTAAAATTTTATATGTCTGACATGTGTCACTTAACAACCGAGTTTAACGATATTAATGGTTCAAGCACCTAAAAGTGTAAAATTAGAAACGTTAAGTACTTATTTTTAACGAAACATTCTTTAAGCTCCTAAAGTTAACTTTAAGATAGTTTGAACACTTATTTTTACATTAAACCTAATTTAAACTATTTAAAATAATATAATTTAAATTTTATTTAAAAAATAAATATCTTTACCTTATTAGGTCAAATTGATCCACCTCCCCTCTTTATTTCTTTAAAAGTCAAATTTCTTCAAATTCCATTTGGTTAAAATCTAACCAATATAACCGGCGAAATTACTCAGATATTGTGGTGAATCTTTTGTATCTAAAGTGTAGGTATAAGTATTTTTCTCAAGTAGTATAATTGTCACGATACACGTCAAAGATTGTTTAGATAACACATCGTCTTCTAGAATATGTTTGAACCACACAACGTCTTTCCCCTAGCTGCATACATGCTCAAACATTTGTAACGTTACATCCTTGTTAAAGGCACACTATCATCAGGGCTTCTTTCCTCCAACATATACTACAACAATCTCTCTATCTCCGAAAATAATTCATCACGTTATTCAAAAACGTTTGCCCAATTTATCCCTTTGGCTTTAAGAGATTGAATTCCTTTTCCCGTCATTCTCTTTCTACTTTTTCTCTGTCTCGTGTATGAAGCTGTGTATATTTATATAGATTCACGTGTGTTCGTCAACCTGGTTTTGTAGGTCAATCTTTCTTGTGGCTTGGCGATAGGTCTAGAAGAGATGGAGTTAACAAATGGTTTCATTAGATCCACCACTTCAGCTTCATCTTCTTTCTTCTCCGCTTCGCTTTCCTTGCCTCACTGAGAATGGTAAGTATATTCTGACAATAAGTGAAAGAGAAAATATTCATTCAAGTTTCTTAGCTACCAAAAACTACTTTTTTACGAGAGATTACTTTAAATCTATGTTGCTTTCGATGTGAAGGGGTTGTCGACTGTGGCGGATGAAGCTGAGGAAGGGGCGACGCTGTCTTCTCCGAACAGCGACGCATCTTCATTTCAGTTGGATTTCAGAAATGAAAGCAGCATAGGGAAGAGCCAGTGATGATGATGACAACGGTTCAACTCGGAAGAAACTCAGGCTCTCTAAAGAACAATAAGCTTTTCTCGAAGAAAGTTTCAAACAACACAATAATTTCTTACTCTATTTGTTTAGGGTTTTTTTAATTTAATATTTTTTTATTAAAAAAAGTGTTGGTTTAGAAGCAAAAACTTGCCTTGGCCAAGCAATATACCTTCAATCTCGCCAAGTAGAAGTGTGGATTCAGTACATAAGAGCAAGGTATTATACACTACAAAAAATATATTAGTTAATAACAAAATTTCTATTTGACGATTTAAAATAAATGTTGCATTCAAGATTGAGAGAACCATAACACTTGTGCATAATGAATATAGGAAGACTACTAATATGGATTGTGATCAAATGAATAGGATAGTGTGGCGACTTGATATAATATGATAACCTGAGATATGTTATGTTTTAGATTTGGATTATGATTAAAAGATTAAAAGAGTGAATGAACAATGGTTATATAACATACATAGATGCTTATTTTTATGAGATTCATGAAATATAACAGATGAGATGTGTACTACTGAGTTGAGTTAATTTGGCGTTCGAATTTCTTCGTACTCAAGTTAGAAATTTCGTAGATCGCGATAGGATAATGATAGAATCAGAGGAGTCTCCATCAGAGTACTAGAGTACAATGGTTAAGACTTAAATTGGCATGTAGAGGTTGTGATCTTTATTCGAGTCTTTTTGTAAATTCTTTATTTATGTATTTGGTTTTCAAATAAAGGAGCTCATCCGCATTTGTAACTAAAATTTTGAGTAAATCCTATTTCCTAAGTTGTGAAGTGTGGGATCATTTAAATAATTCAATGTGACACTCACAAACCCGAAGACGTGTGAAAGTCGAGTTTAGGTGTTATATTTTTTACACCAACATTTTATTTATTGAACAAATAGATAAATAAATCTATTATTTGTTTTTATAATAAAAATCTATTACTTATTTTAAATGATATATTTGAAGAAGTTGATCAACACATTCATTTGTGGGTCTAATTATGATTTAAAAGGAAAAATTATATCATATGATTTTATTTTTAAATGATATATTAAAAAAACTTATTATCAAATACATTAACAATATGTAAACTCTATTTATTCAATAAATAAATTTTATATTTTTTTCCTTTTGTTTTATTGAGATAAAAGCCAGCAAGCCAATTCCAAACGATGACGAGGATTGAAGACAAACTGAGAAATGGAAGGCTGAGATGAAGACTTGGGAGAACTAGATCAAAAATAACCACTGAAGACTTGAGAATTCAAGCCCAGAACAAGAATGACGTTAGGATTTTAATTTACACGGCCCGAGTTTTTGCTTTTTAAACACAAACACCCATTGTCCAAGAAATTAGAAAATATAATTAAGATGAAAGGCATTCGTATTGTTGAGATAAAAGCTTTAGGGTGTGTTGGAGATATGGAAAAAGCAACGAAGAGAGATCTTCATGTAGTTATGGACAAATGCAGATTTGCAAATGCTATTTTCAGAGCTCGACAAAAGATTAGGGAATCATGACAAAACTGCTGATCCAACGAAGATTAAACAAGAGAAGGAAACATTCCAACGAGCCTGGTTGAGGAAAATACGAAGATCAAAACTAAGTTGATGAAGAAAAATATGCAACGACGGAAAAGATATAGAGAAGCAGCTCGAATTACATTGCAAAAGATGAAAAACACGGCTAGTATTGTGATAAATTTGGAGGTTCAGAAGGAATTCGAGGCACTGATGAGATGTTCTTCATCATCCTGGAGGTAATCCACGTAGTCATTGTGTGGAAACCTTATTTGTAAAGAACGGGGGTTGGTTTTTCTGAATCGGCAATTTTTGTATAGAATGTTGCAAACAACATTCAAACTTGGTTTGATTGATAAGTTTGTTTGTGGATATTATGAAGTAT